AGAGAGGAAGGGAGACGGAAAGATCAATAATGAGAATCATTGATTGGCTGCCTCCTGCACACCCCCTACTGGGGATCGAGCTCACAACCCCAGACATGTGCCCTTGACTGGAATCGAACCTGGGACCTTTCAGTTCACAGGCCAACACTCTATCCACTGAGCCAAACCACCTAGGGCAGTAGTTGACTTTTTAAACATGCTTTAGGTGATATAAGAGTTAATAGTGTGGCTGATATTAAGAGATTCTAAGGCTACTGTACTAAAGTTTGATACCAGTTAGCATTGTCTATATGTTGAATAAAAGTAATTTCAAAATTCCAGGTAATTATAAGAATAAAATTGCAGCCCTAACCAGTTTGGCTCAGTGGACAGAGCGTCGGCCTGCAGACTCAAGGGTCCCAGGTTCGATTCTGGTCAAGGGCATGTACCTTGGTTGCGAGCACATACCCAGTAGGGAGTGTGCAGGAGGCAGTTGATCGATGTTTCTCTCTCATCGATGTTCCTAACTCTCTATCCCTCTCCCTTCCTCTCTGTAAAAAATCAATAGAATATATTTTTTTAAAAAAAGGATAAAATTGCATATTGAAGGTCCCGAGTTGTAAACTTTTTAAAAAATGGTTTTTATTGATTTTAGAGAGAGAATAGAGGAAACATCAATCAGCTGCCTCCTACCCTCCCCCTACTGGGGATTGAGCTCAGAACCTGGTCATGTACCCTGACTGGGAATCAGACCAGTGACCTATTGGTTAATGGGTCTATATGGTCAAACACTGAGCAACACTGGTTCGGCTGAGTTGTAAACTCTTGAGTTCCTTAATTAAAAACCATCTTTTTTTTAAAAATTGATTTCAGAGAGGGAGGGAGAGGGATAGAAACATAAATGATGAGAGAGAATCACTGATCAGCTGCCTCCTGCTCAAACCACATTGGGGATCGAGCCTACAACCTGGGCATGTGCTCTGATCTAAATCAAATCATGATTCATAGGTTGATCCTCAACCACTGAGCCATGCCAGCCGGGCCATCTTAATTATTTTAAGCCCAAGATCTAGCATAGTACCTGGGAGTGGAGTGTTTCAGGAAGTGTATGTTAAATACTCTCTTGATTTATTGCATTAGTCACACCACAAAACCACACAGCTTTTGTTCCTCTTCATTTACAATATTCAATCCCAAGGAAGTTTGTAAGGCCTAATTTTTTACTTGAAAAAACTCCTTTCCTTTCATCTTAATCAAGGGGAAGCATCTGTTCTTATTAGAGTATTAAAATCTCTTTAACTTAGCCAACATTTAATTAAATATAAAAGGATCTTAAATGTTTTATCTATTTCAGTTAGGAAGGATTCCCTGCAATAGTTGTGTCGTTATTATAGTTGTTATACATAGGTCACTATTTCCTTACCAGAAACTGGCTCACAGACATAGCGTAAGGCTGTCCCCCAAAGTAAAAGGGGATTGGCATCAATTTAAATGGGATGCCTCTTGGCATGCTCTCATTCTCTGGAGCATGCCCATGCCTTTTCCTTACCCCTCTTCTTCCCCCCAGGCACGTTACCTTTGTCTTTCTGCTAAACTCCAAGGGCCCTTCTACTGCCGTTGGAATGTTTCCTGAGCCTACGCAGCTCAGCTGGCTCACTTGTACTACCTCTGTAACTTTCTAAATAAATGTTCTTTCAATTTGAAAACAGATAAATAAATGTCTCTTTCTTCAAATGGCTGCCTGTTCACTTGGACAACAAAAACCACAACTCAGGTACCTGGAGTCTGCCTTAGGACAGGTCTGTGTATAGGTTCCTTTTCCCATCCTCCTAATTTACTGCATTATTTATTAGAAATTACCCATTCCAAGGAACAACACAGTGACATTTCAGTGCATTCTCAGCCCATGCTGCTTTATTGCCAAAAAATATATATATATACACAGGTGCAGAGTTTCCAATCCTTAAAGTAGTTCCTTTTTACATAAAATCTTTAGAAAACAATAAAATCTTTTCTAAAATCCCAAAGATGCATAGATTAAAAAGCAAGCTGCTTTTGTAATACTTTAAACATTCAATGAAATTCTTTTAACATTATCGCCTATATCACTGGTGTAATGGAGAAGATGCAGAATAGCAAGTAAAAACAATGAGCAACAACTGTACTTAAAAGGACAGGTAGCACATAAAACCCTATGTAACGGATACTCTAACGTGATTCTTAGTGATGGGTGATTTTAAGGTAAACGCCAAGATGACCGCTATTGCTTAAGGACTGATGATAATGTATTGCCAGAATATCTTTTGTCCCTGGGAGAAAAATATATTTGAATTGATGGCATGGCTGACCATCACCACAAGAGATAAAATCTTTTGGAAATTGTTAGTAACCCTAAAATATCTGACTTAAAAGGGAGGCTTAGGAGTATGGATTCCTGGAGAAATCTATGGTTTTTGTTTTTCTAATAACCTTTAATATGCCTTAGTGGAATAATGGGAACAGAGTTTAGAGAAACTGTCCTTAAATCTTCATTGGTTGATAGGCATGTTATTAATAAGTGGCAAAGAGAAACTTTACATATGGGATATGACATCTCACTTCCTATATTTGGAAACCAGACACTGTGATGACCATACTCTAATTCCGTTGTAAACTACTGAAAAGTTACCATTACATTTACAAATTTCCAAAGGTATCTGGAGGGAAATCCCATAGCAAAGTATCTAGTCTAATCCTGTTTAGGCCTCTTTTAGATATAATTACTCCCATTTACATTATTCATCACAATCACTTGGACTTATAAGGATTATTCCAAAGTTAGGAATTGTCCAAAACTTTAAGCTATTAGAATAAACATAAAAGTAAAAACTTGCTCCTGTTTACTTGGCATCAAAAACTTCAGGCAGATTATGCAGCCTGATCAAAACATCAAGAATAAAACTCTGGCTA